AAAGAAAATTATTTATTCAGGCTAATTAGGTATTATTCCCAATGGAGCATTTTCCGATTAAGACGTGTGATATGCAGATAACATTTGTTTTTTTGGCATTTAGCATTCTTTGGACATGTATAAAATCCATTTGGAATATTTGTCTCAGTGGGAGTTTTTACCACAGCGTGTGACACAAGGCCTCTTTCCTGCCTCCGGGTCAGCTCTGTGTGTTGTACAGTAGTTATACACAAACCAACTACCAGCAGTTTGCAGGGAACCACGCCCAAAAGAAAAGTCCACATTTCTGGTCAGAAGGAGATACACACCTGAAATTATGAAAAACTTGGATATCAATATTTTTGGATTTGCACAGACAGTGCAACGTCGACCTTTTTAAGAGAGAGTGGATGAAGGAATGAAAGAGGGAGGCCGTATTCGTATAATACACTTTTATCAGCGTATGCACGGCTGCATGTAAACAAAATATTGGTGGAATTTAAATTTTAGCTATGCAAACAGCTTAGTAGGAATATTGCCTTTTACAGGATATGGGCAAAAAAGCTGAATATTTTGTGCATGTAAACCAAATATCAGTGGGTAGGGTTGAGAGCAGGTTAGCTGTGCTGCAGCTCATACCAGAGTCAGTCAGAATAACACTGAAAAGCGAAGCAATACTGAATTCTAATTGGCAATCTGCCTCCAAAGTAGAAGTGCACAATTCCACACCAACACAAAACAAAACCCATCTACCACAGAGACTGCCTGAAATACAATTCAGTTGGGTAGTTTGTGTTGCTCAAGAGACTGCAGCACTTGTTCATCAATATTATTCTGAAATTTTGACTAGAGGCATGTTTTATTCTTTCTGACTTGATGCTGAACCAATGTAAAAAATATCAAGTTGTCACTGCTTGTAAATAAGAGTATTGTCCAAATTTCCTACTGTTCTTTTATTTCATAAAGAAGAGTCAAAGTCTGTTATGATCAAATGAATTGCAGCTTCTTACTTATTCATAACTATTACTTATATCTATTAGTTATGAATAAGTGTTAACTCAGAGGTGCTTTGATTCAAACTAAATACAAAGTAATCATTGCTAAATGTATTTATTCTGAAAATGCCAAATGTTGTACTTATAGTAAAACTCTAAAAGTAACACCACCAAAGAAGGGATTGATAGTGAAACTTCTGGAACATAGTAGTACATCATTTTCAGATACTGGGCTACCTGCTATAATATAAAAAGGTGTGCAGGCCGTATATCATAAAAAGGCTGTAATGTTAAAGCTGGACTTAATAGATGCTGGTGCCAGGATTACACAACAGAAAGGACAACAAGCCATATGTTCAAAATGGCAACTTTCTGATTTTATGACTTTAGTAGCCAAGCCCCAAACACTAAATCTAGGGATGCACCATACCGATACTGTGCTCATGCACTCACTCAAAAAACTACTCTGATACAACGTGACGTCAACCTTTCATCAGATGAGCCTAAAGGGACGCCCAGCTGCAACAATAACCCAAATGCACAAACACGTTAAATCCATCATTTACCGCCAACTGTAACCAAAACAGGCAGTCCCCAGTTCACCCATTAGGAAGAGTAAGCAGCCACAATGTAGCCGACATTGTCATGGACACGAGTAGCCACTTTAGTCTCCACCACATGAATTAGTCTAGCTGTCAGTTGTGTCTTCCTGGCATACTCGGTCAGGGTTTCCACCAGTGTATTTGCAAGCCCAACGTAACGTTTGCCAGTGTCCGATCAAAAGAGCGTGTGATAATGAGAATGAAACGTTATAGCTGTAAATGTAGCCGTGGAGTTTGTGTACATTTATTTGTTGATATACAACAACTGCTTGGGAGACCCAAGCCAAGCTCCCGTGTCTTGCTTGCCAGCCACCTGCTGATTAAAGTGGGGGTTAGCCCGGAAGTCAGCAACAGCTCAGGAGCAGTGGAGGTGGGCGGACCTTTAAGGTGGACCAGCTATTCTAAAGCCACTCCTTTGAGTTTAAAAAAAAAGATGTATTTCTTTCAACCGTCTAATTGATAGCACAGTTTAACAGTTATAGTAACATCCCTCATGCAAACAATGCTCTGCTTGTAAAAGGAAAACACAATGTTGAATATCAGCAACAGCTTCATATTGTGCATTTAATTTGTTGCAGTCAGAATGTGAGGAACATCTGATAAAAATAAAACATGTTTCAAAGTAAGAACTGTAATGGTATTAAGTACTCATCGGTACCCGGTATAGACAAGTACTCAAATGTAAGGACTTGTATCGGTGCATTCCTCACTGAATTAGGGTTTATCCATTACAATACACTCTATGAGCTCCAATTCAATAAAAAAAATGAATGTTTAGACACCACAGGGTTTATTTATGCTACATTGCTTCTCACCATCATAGGCCTACAGACTGAAACACCCAAACATTATTCAACACACCAGATAACACCTATACAGAGCGTGAGCTGTGATCTATAACAGCTGCCATGATGCAGTGACAGGGTCAAGAACACTGCATTGCTGGCCTTCAGTAATGACCCACACACATGCAGAGGGAGGGCCCCCCTGTGGCCAACAGACATCGAGGACCAAATGAAAACAAGACCTGTGCAGCATCCACAGACCTCAGACTAGATCAACTGCAGGGAAGGGGGGGGGGCGATGACGAGGAGAAAGGGGGATGGGCATTTAAGAAGGACAAAGGGGGCAAAATAGCTTTTTTGCTAAATCCAACCACTGTAAACTAACCCAGTTCTGACAGCAGCACACATTGATGTGGCCTTTGGAAGTTCATTCACTGTCCTGCATTTTAGTCACTCTGTCAGCAGCCTTTATTTAGAAAGGCAAACGTGGGGGGCTCAATAATACATAAAGACAGCCACTCTTATCTCTTGTCACTCTCACAGGCACAGAGGCTGCTGAAATTGTGGAAGTTGCATGGACACTGAAGAGGAAATATGCCTCAAAGCAGCATAGGAACATGAGGGCAACTGCTATATATACTGAAGCTAAACACATTAACGATAGTGCCTTTTGAGTACCTTTTAAAGCATTATAAAATTAAAAGCTATTATCATCTATTAATAGCAAAATTGCACAACATCACTACTTGAGTAACACCCAAGTCAAATAGAACCTGATTCAGTATTTTTTCTTTTTTATTATATTTAATTTTGCATACAAAGAGTTGCAGTATTTAATTGCTATAAATACTATATTTAATCAGGTGATTGGACAAAAAACAGCACAGCAAACTACACGCATATACATACACATAAACATACACACATATATAGAGGACACATTTCTAGTCTTCTTATCACATTACTCTTACTTATGTCTCATTTTTCACATGGGGCCAAATCAATACTTGGAACAATGTTACATTAAGAAACCACACGTAATAATCAGCATACTCCAGCATGCAAACGTCTCAAATATAACCTTATAAATTATGTTCGAACTTACAAATACCAGGAATCTCCACTCATAGCCTGGTAAAGAGTTCCTCACACACTTAAACCCTCATCAAGCACCCCCATTCCCTTTTGCTAGGCTGCCCCCCTATGCCCACAGGACCACAGATGTCCTGTGTGTTGGCAACCTCCAGGTAAATTAACTGGTCAAGCTCTTTGCTGCTGGCTCGACGACAATCTTTTCATGAACTACCAACTGAAGATAACTCGCACACTGCCAACTATAACAGATGCCTGTGGCTTCAGTGCATTCACCTGCTCAATATTCAAGGCACAAAAGAAACCCAAATGCAAACAAGAAAGAATATGCCTTTGTTTATACCATAGGGAACAGTCCCAACACTTGTGGCCAAAGCCCTTGAGCACTAAAACTAGAATGAACACCCTGTTCCTTCAGCTGGTGTTGCATGAACCCCAAAAACATCCTTTCTGAACATTTACAAGTGGACAGTTAACCGCTCATTAGTATGTGGAACCGCATCACTCCCCATAACTCAAGTTAGTAAATTGTGACTACTATCATCACATGCAGCTATATACGGTTTCATGTGCTGGTAAAATAAAACAATTAATCAGATACACTTAAAATAATGGCCATTATGTACATAAAATGAATTCACAGCTAAATAAATAGTCTGCTACTGCATTAAATCAGAGCGTTTCTTAAAAGTATAACAAAAAAAATGATAAACTGGTATACAAAATCACTACTAAAAGTACACCTGCTACATTGCTCCATACATGCATGAAACCATTCATGTAAACATCGTCTGGATTAAACCCATTGCCATGTTAAAAAAGGTCAGCAGTGACTATTGAAGTTTAAAAAGGTACGGCGTTCATTGGCGAACATCATCGTGAAGTGGCTCAAGGGGGGGGATAGTTGAGAGCTGCATTGCTAATTGATTAATCTGTGACACCTGTGCCACTGCGGGCAATCTGCGCACCGACACCAGCTGCGACCGAATTCGGTTCATGCAAAGTGCAAATTACCGAGTTAATTCTCCAACGCCACGAATGCCTATAGCAAATGCTAAACGGACAAAAACATTTGTTGCAATTCATTTAAATCTCGCTTTTTTTTTTTGAAACTGCACCGCCATGCTAGTCTCAATGGTTACACCCACCATGCGGCGTGGTTGGGGAGAAACCGTAACGAAGTCGTGGAGATTCAAGACAACTTTGCGTTAACTGCGGCGTTCAGGGAACAAAGTTTGTGGTGCTCAACTCTCACTACACAGGGGCAAGTCTTAAATGTTAGCTAGCACCGATATTTGGATATGCGCTTTGTACTACATTAGTCATTTAGCTAGTTTCACTTGACATGATACTGGCCATTGTTATGTTAAAACACGAATATTTCCAACGAAGCTATGCGAGCATTATGTCCGACTTGCAGCCGGCCAGCTTTTGTTTGACATTGCTAGCTACCATGACTCGTTAAATGCCTTTTTTCTTCTATGTGCATTTTCGGCACTGTTACATTTTTTTTTATATTCTTGCACTATTCCTTTGTTGCGGCTTACCTTGAGGTGTTCAATCGGTGTCACGGGTATTTAATGAAGTAAAGTCTGCAGACATCTAACTTTAGGTCGCAGTCTGCGCAGCTGAAAAGGGGGCGGTGGCGGGAACGCGGCTACCCAAGTAAACTAATCAGACCCTCTGCCAATCAGCTTCGACCCCGTCTCAAACCCGGAAATACACTATTAACTAATTGATTTGCTGCAGGTGTAACGTTACTTTTACTTCACGCTTCCTAGCCTGAGAGGCATTTCGGCTAAACGGTCAATGCAAAGGAAAAACACACAACAATGAATTTTCTGGAGCAGTGTCAGGGTGGCACCAGAGTCCCTGGGCTATTCAGGGGAAACCAGCTCCATTAGAAATCGTTAAATTTGATCCACTATGACAATTATTTGAAAACATTGCTGTTTCTATTTGAGATTAAATTTGCTCCACTGTTACTTGTGCGCCTACAGGACAGACATGTATTTGGCATTGATAAAGGCCTATGTATAAAAAAAAAAGAAGCAAAACCTAATAAAATGGTACATGCTGATATTTGGCATAAAAAGATGAGGATCCAAATTCAGACAGTGATTTATTTTAGTAAAGGAATAATAGGCGTGTCTGCACTTTACAATTAAGATCTGCGCGTGAATTCAGAAATTCCATACAAATATGTCTATGACAGCAGAAGTTACAACACGTCATCCAGCTACTCCAAGTAGCGCAACACACAGGCTTCACTTCACCTATATAGCATTACTCATTTCAGAGTTACACTGAAGTTACACCTCGGCCCTATGCTATTTTAACTTTATATCGAAGAAGCCGTCCTTGCAATAACCGAGGCATGTTTTTTTAACATTAATATCCTTATTAAAATGCAAGTTTTGATAAAGAGCTCAGAAAAATTTAAAAAATACAAATTCTGTTTAATATAGCCATTATTTCGATAACTATTCTGAAATTCTGTTTATAAAACAGTGTAGGCTAGTCCGATATATCCAACATGATAACGTTTTTACTTTAGATGCAGTAACATAACCGACAACTATGCGGACCCCACGTTTTCAGCACTCTACCAGGGCCTATATATCTACACACGAGCAATAATCACGTCCGTGTCTGAAATCCTGGACGCTTTTGAAATGAGCACATGTGCAGAGACAGCCTACCTATCCTATCGTAAGATATGCCAAGGCACCGCAATTCAGAGTTGGAAATCCGCCGTCATTGGAAACATGAATGTACCACGGTTACTTTCCAGTCGCGTTTGCATGCAATAAGACAGCCCGAGACTGCAGTGAATGCATGATCTGCCCTACACACTGTCCTCAAAGAATGGATACAGGATGAAATAGCGATTCAAATGTTTCAGTTGGATGAGCAAATGTGTAAAAAAGATCTTACCGTTTCTATAAATGAAAGTTATGGACGTCCTTTGGCAAACAATCTCTGAATGAAACACCTGGCCAATAGCTTGTAAAATGATGAATTCCGCTCTCTTAGTTAAAACTTGGAAACATAAAAAGCAAACACAAACAAGATAAAAATGAGGAAAATTAAATATTTATTAAATCAAAACACAGAAAATGATTTCCTTTCAGCAAATGTATGAAACAAAAGGAAAAAGAACAGAAGAAATAAAAGGAATCAAATCATTAAAAAAGCCGGCTTCTGCCTGTCTCGCTCTTTACAGGTGCGCCACACAAATACGCGACATCACTGACTGGAAACCAACGCGAGGAGGAGGTTGTCTTTAAAAGGAAGATAGTCCTGCCGGCAAATATATAGGGCCGTATCACAGCATGCCTATACCTCTCCGCTCTCTCCGTTTCATCCATTCAACCTACACACGAACACGCATTGGACGCGGAAGTATACCCGGTGAAGCTCCATCCACCGCTTATGCACACAGAAGCTCTCTAATGCTATTGGCTCCAACGCGGTGCTCGTTGAGCGCAACCGTCTCTCCAAACCTCAAGATGCCATTCGTCCTCGCCCCAGTCACTCAAATATTTTTTTTTCCGAAATATGGCATTTAAAGTCAAACATCGACTTGCCGAGACACGCACAGTGCAGCAGGCGGGAATAACACCGCGGCTTATTCCGCTTTTTTTTTGTCACAAATGTGTTTCACACCACATCACCACAATGTCACTACCGTTCAGGAAAAGGAAGAAATAAAAACTATACTTATGTATTCATATGTGTGCAGATTTCACGTGCTATGAGGCGTTCCTTTTTAACTGTTTTATTCCACTTAAGCCCTCACATAAGACAATAAAACCGCTCCGAATTATCATCCTAATGGGCCAAATGCGCTCTTCATCAACCGCGATTGTATTTTGTTTTTTGCTCCATCATGCCCCCCCCACTGTCTGCGCCATTTCGGCGCTCTCACAGCATCATTTGTCAGGACCAGGTATCTGAAAATCGGCGCCTGGTTTTGCAACACCGTTTGCATCGGTGCTGCAGGCAAATCCTCCGCAGCAGCTTTCAGCACCACGGACAGCGCAGGTCTCCAGTACAGTAACTGCATGCTTCCACGTGCCCGCCTCAGACGCTTCCAGTCAATGGGCAGCCCTCAATACCCGACCTATAGACTAGAGACAAAGGTGGGCGTTCATTTTGGGCTCCCCTGGCACATTTTAAACAATAGAAAACACTTGCCTTAGGCCTTACTCGTAGTAACATCACAGCATGTGTGAGTAGCACACGAAGCAGGAGTGGAAGCAGGCTTATCCCACCAACATCTTTGTCGACTTTCAGAGGGTGGAGCAACAGTTAGGCTGTACAAGTGAAAAGGAAGATCGATGCTTTCAAACAAATAAGCCTGAACAGTAGCAAAAGGCTAGAAGCTCATAGGCTCACTGCAGAAAACCGTAACAGGGTAAATTCAACAATGCATGAATAACTTTATATATAAAATGCAAATTATTCTATGTTAAGATATTTTCAATTATAAACTGGTGTGAGCATTCTGAAGTCACAGCGTGAATGATGTCCCTCATGCTCCTGTAGGGAGTAAAGGGAATGAAAACAAAGTAGTGCACTATTAACATGTGTGATCTATAAGGATATTAAGCGAGTTTCCTGTTCCAGTCTGCGATGTTATGTTGAAGTACAGCGCCACTGTTAAGTTTGATTTAGGTGTCAGTTTCTGGCTGAGACTATTTTAAATTTGCATGACAAAACTCAAACATTTTAAGGTTAAACAAAATCAAAATCAGTCTTCTAAAAGGTTTTTTCCAGGATTTACATCTTGATGACAGCATATGTTTAATTCCTGCTGCTCTAGTTTCTGGTTTTTGGGGGAAGTTATTCATGCCCACAAATATCAATTAGATGATTAGCATTTAGATAGCATATACAAATTCATTGAATGAAAGAGAACATGGACCTATTGCCCCCAACTTTAATGGTGATTTCTGAAAGTGTGTCTCAAAAGAATGTCAGGAAGACTTACTGTGTAGGAAGATTATATTTGAAAGATCAGACACATGGAGGGCTCAATATATCAGGATAAATCAGTAACTCTGTGGGACTTGTTTCCAGGAATAGAATTGGAGGCAGCAAATTAACACCTAGTAAAGGGTCAATTGAACAAACTGACAAATCAACTCTTTCACTTCAGGTACTGCTGAGCCTCTTCCTAAAGTCTGACTTACATCAAACTAAATCCCCAGAGACAGTATCACAGTCTAGCAGTCAACAATTTTGGCTTGGGGTTGAACAAATACAAAAAACTCTCCGAACGCTGGCGTATTAAATATTATGCTACTCGGGAGATTTCCCAGCGTGGCAGCCAAGGCAACAAGCATTAGAGCATCTTAACCAGACTCCTGTAGCTTTGGTCCAGCGGCATCTCCCTGTCGGGCCCTCACAGCACGCTCCTGGCCAGCTACACCACACCCAAGGAGCTGTAAGAAAACAACCATCTTGATTCCACCGAGGAGACAAAGAAGAATGGACATGTTGGTCTCAGCTGTAGTTCCATGTATAAGCACCATCAAAGTGGTCCAATGAAATATTCATTAGTGCAGGAAAAGTAATAATTAGAATGCATCACACGTAAAAAAAAAAGGGGATTCAGCAGGTTCAGGAAGCTTAAATACTCCTCACTGCCTTCTTCGTCTGCCTTTTCTTGTGGATTTGACAGTTGCTTGCTAGCACATTGCTACTCCCACTCTACATACAGTCTTCAACCAGCAGTTTTGAGCTAGTATGCATTAATTACATATTCAAAGCTAATAAGAGACTTTAACAGGCACATCACTGGAAGTCGGGGAAAATGCATTTTTTATCCTGAGACTGTTTATTTCTTCTTTGTTGCTCGGATCAATTCAACTTTCTGTCCTCTTACTCACAATAGCACTTGCTGGTGTGGACAACAGTTTCCTGACCACACCCGTGATGGACTGTGCCAGGGGAGTGGCCTTAAAGGAATCACATTAAAACTCCATCACATAATGAAAAAGGCAAACCTAAATTATATTATTACTTACAGAAGTATAAAGAAGTTAAAACATACTCAAAAGCAAGAATTAAGTACAGAATGATCTTTAGACATGGAATCAGGTGAAAGACAATAATTCAAGGGGATTTTGGTTACAAGAACCTAATATCCCTCTGGGAGTTACAATTATGTCACGCGGATGTGCTTACTGGCCACGGGCTAAAAGGTTCATCGGGGACTCTTGACTGTAAAGCAATATAGCTCTAATGGAGAGAAAACCCGAGCATCCAAACCTGACTGCGGATCATATAGCCATCTATATTTCAGGGCCACAAATATGAACAAATGGGTAATATATACACCCCCTTGGAGGGAATGTAGATCAATGCCGGGGTCGTTCACATAATACATCTCTGTAATTTGGAGCACCATGGTCTCAAACCATCCGGACAATAGGGATCGGGAGCATTAATTTGACTGCACGACAGTGACTAGGCGCCGACTCCTCACAGTTTTTCTGCCTGATTGACACATTGGCAGTAAATCACAAACTATCCACAAATACGTACGCGGTCTGTAGCTAATCTGGTACACAAGGGGTGGAATAAGAAGAACAAAAAGTCACGTTCAGTTGTGGAAACTACATTCATCCAAATAGTGGAGTATTTTAAAAATGTGGTACTGTTTTACTTATTTAAAAGATCATAACATTTATCCACCACTGCACACTTAATTAAAAGAAAAATGCATGTAATTAATTCAAATGGCAGCCTATAGCAACGTGAATGAAAATGAATGACTACAACCCCGCCCCCGTACTCATGTCCTACTGTATGTTATGGTGTTAAAAATGCAAATGTAAGCTTTATTTTGCAGACGACCACACTGATGAAGCGAGAAAAAAACAAAAAACTGCGCCCCCAGTACCGAGGAACTGGCCTGGTACAGCTCATAAAATATTCCCACCTCCATCTTCTCTCTGCTCATTGATAACTTGTCGAACTGATCCAGTGGGTCCCGCCTCCTGCTATTACATGTCAAGGGTTAGAGCCAATCCCTGCACACTTACAGGCAACCTGTGAGGTTGACAGGCCAGCATTTTATCAGACACAGGCCAGAACGGCTCGCCAATGGATCCCAGCAAAGGGACTAAGACGTCAATAGTGGTTCCTTTGAGACATTAACGCTCCCCGTGCTCGGGCCCCTTGTGTGACAATGGTCTCAGTGTTGCGTGGAGGTGATTATTAATGCTCCCTGCCGGGACTGGACAACATATGTCGATAGGAGCTTCCTGAAAGGCGGCTGTAAAAGAGGGTAATAAGCAAAACTGCAGTAAAATGTCTCTTTCAAAGCCTTTTCATCTTCTAGCCCAAGGATTGCTATGATCAGACAGAAGTGTACAGGCAGGCGCTCTCTTCGGGGAAACACTACAGCTTTGCTGAATTATTTCTGAGCATATGTTTTTACGTCTCCATTTCATTTAAATTAAAACGAAAAGGGTCACGCAACCCTTTGAAATTACTCCCATGTTACACACCTGGCTTGAGCACATTTCGTTTAACACACTATGAACCCATCTAACCAAATTTGTGAAGTCATTGGAATGAAATATCTGAGTTTATTAAGTACCCAAATGAGGTTTAAACTCCGCTACATATCTGTTGGCAATTCTGAAGCAGACACTTGTGTGTAAACCTAACTCGTTTCTAACGGCTTGAATCACTTCGTATGAATCCCTTCATGAGAGTGTCATCAGTTAAATGAAAAACTGAGAATTTCATGTGAATTAGTGAACTACATCATTGGAACCTTTATTTAGAAAAGCCTACCATAAGCGATGCACCGAACAAGACCAATAGAAGGGAAGTATATAATATAAAACTATATAACAAAAATTCAGTTATGAAATGTAATACGTATAAAACATGACTGTATAAATTATGCC